TGACCCGTTGCCGATTCCGGCCACGCACTATGGAGTTGTTAATTTCTCCTCCGGGGGCTGAAGCTTCTCCTGCATGGCTCGCCAGGCCAAGTTCTGAGCGAATGCTCCGCGTCAGCTGTGGTGGCATGCGCGGTGCAGGGTGCGCGGGCACTGCAGTCGTGCCGCCCTCTCGTCCTGGACGAAGGCCTCGGGGCAGATGGGGCGCTCCCTGTGGTCGCCGGTGAAAGCAGGGGCGGGGGGGGGGTGCAGCGACCTGCTGTCGTAGCAGCTCCAATTCTAGTTGCGTGCTCCGACGAGGTGTCGTCGTTGGAGAATGGTGTGTGCGCTGTGCTCGGATCGGCAGCCGCTGGACGTGCATGCCTCGCGGCCAGCGAACCACGTCGCCCCTTTCCCCGACGGTGGGCTCACGTCCACTGGTCTGTCTGCGATGAAGAGGGCCGATCCAAAGGGCGACGCAGGCGCTGGCGGTGACGCGGGTGCCAGTGCCGATTGCGGTGGTTACATAGAGCTCGTCGATCCACGTGGCGCGCCGATGCCGATCGAGGCGGCGGATGGCATCTATGCCCAGACCAGCAACTGCGCGTTGGCAGCTGGTGGCGCGGGGCCAGCAGCTCGTGCGTTGAGGCCGCGCGACCAGTCGCGCCCCTGGGCCTGTCCAAGAGGGGATGCGCCGCCAGCTCGTGACCACTGGTGGTGTCGGTGATGTTGCTGGAGCTGTCGGTGCTGGCGATGGGGCTGGCGCTGGCTGCCCCGCTGCTGCCGTGTGGGCCTGCCACTTAATCGCGGGGCCCGGTGGCAGAGCAGAGGCTTGCGCGCGGCCCATGAAATCGTCGATTTCCCATCGTAGTCGTCGCATCCGGCGTCGCGGGGGTTGGGTGATGTCGGTGGAGATGATGCTGTGCCAGCCCGACTTGGCCACTGGCTGTGGCGAACCTGCCGCCGCGAGCCGTCGGGCGACGAACTTGGGGTAGTGGCTGTTGCTGTCGACCGCTGTGCTGCTGATGCTGGTCAGCGCTCAGCGTGGGATCGCTCTTGCCAGAAGCCGCAGCGCGTGCGCCCGTCAAGGGCTGCTGCCGGCGAGGCGTGGTGGCCTTTGCCAGTCCGGGTGTGAGAGTAACGCGGGTTCTGATGGTGGTGGGTCGTCGGTGCCGGGAAAGGGGCGCGCCCGTGGTTATGGCGCCGGGGGCAATCGCGCACGAGGTTTTCCCCTGGCCCGCGCCAGCGGCACTTGAGACGCACGCCGTCGGGGCCCGCGGGATTGCAGTGGCGGCCCGAACCCATCCCACTTGTCCTGAATCTCCCCTTCCAGCTGCCCTTGCCGCCCCAGAAGGCCGCGAATGTCTCCAGGAAGTCGTTCTCGGGCAAGTTGGCCAGGAAAGCTCGGTGGCATTTGCCATGGCCCTTGCCATGTCCGCTCAATGGCCCTCCGGGCGCGGCGCGCGTGGTCGCTGGGGCGTCGCCGCCGTGCTTTGGCGCGCTCGTAGCCCCCAGTGCGTGCGCGCCAGGCTGTTCCGCGGGGTCGTCGCGTAGTTCGGGGTCGTCGGCGGCTGTTTCGCCTTCGCCGAGTGAGCTGATGATGTCGGCGTCGGTGCCTGAATCGCTGCCGACTGCTGGGGGTGCTTCCTGAGATGGCGGTCCTGGTGCAGGTGGGCTCGGCGCCGCTCCCACTGCTGATGGGCCCAGGCCGTCCCGGCTCGATCTGGCTGCAGTGTCAGGGGCGCTCTGCGCCCGATCTAGCGTGGGCGCGCCCGTGAGGAAGGCTTGCCGTTGGGCCGAGTGGGGCCACCGAGGCGAGATTGCCCGTGGGCCCCTCGGTCACGGGCCCAAGACGTCGCAGCTGGCCCGTCATGTGTTCGAGCTGTGCTCCGTTTCTCGGGTGGGCCATGCTGTGGTGCTGCAGGGTCGTGGTCAGCTGCGCGTTGGACACTCCAATCGCGTGCGAGAGGAAAGGGGTGAGGCCCTCGTGGCCGATAATGGGCTGGCCAGCTCGTTGCGCGCAGTTGCGAGGATGTCGAAGCGCGCGAGGAGGTTGCCGATGAGCTCCTGCGGCAGCCCGTTGAAATTCATGGGTGCTGAGACTGCTAAGGTGCCCTCCTCCTCGCCTGGTTGGCCCCGGCGTTCGGCCAGACTGTGCGTTATCGAGGCATCGTTGGCGCTGGTTTGCTGTTGATGAACCCTCCTTGGATCAGGGCAGCTGGCAACCGTTCATTCACGTGCTCGCGTGCCATGCCGGTGTATCGCGATGATTCACAGGCTGCCTGACGAAAATCGTTCCGGCCCGTTTCCGCCGCCGACCAGATCATCGCCTCTCGCGCCCATCGCTGGAATCATGCCCGAGATTGTTGCTCGGGCCCCCAGGTGCGAAGGTGTCGCATGTTGCTGCTGCCGCCGACTGCGTCCACGCATGTTAGGCAGCTGGCTGCAGCAAGCGTGCCCGCTCCGATCGCCTTCCATCAGGAGCGAAGGTCCCTCCGTAAGTCGAGGAGGTGCTGGATGCCAGGGGCCCACCGACGGCGTTGCTCTGGCCATGGGCCTCGGAGCCGTCGTGAGCACCTGCCCCGAATGTGCTCCTCCTCGTCAGCGTATTGGGCGTAGTCTTCCGTCGTGTCTTTGTCTCGCTGTTCGCCGCGCTTGGAACATCCCACAACATTGTGTGGGAATGCCCTTCGTGCGTCGTGTCGTTACTGTGCTGAATGCCAACAGCGGCACGATCGTCGGGCGGAGTGCGCGCCGGGATCTCGTGTTGCGAGGCTGAAGCAATCGGTGGGTGTGGAGAGATGACTTGTTCCAAGGCAGATCATCCGAGATCTGTTTCGCTGCCCCTCGGAAGGCTGACAGCATAGTCGCTAGACGCTCCAATGACTTCCCATTCTTTTTCAGCTCATATCCGCTTGCTCTGTCCGGGGCTCTCGCAACTTAGCGGCGAACAGCGCGAAAACCGTGGCAATTGCCGCTGAATCCCCCAACGAAGGAGGAAGCATAGCGTTTTAGTCGGCGAGCGACTCAACATAGTTTGAATACGCCCCAGGAGACAGGCAAACAGCGGCGAGGGGGCGCCGCGATCCTGGATGAACTGGGTGTCGTACTTGTTTGTGTTGATGTCCTTGATGTTGTCGTTCTCACACGGACTGTCGTGATACGGGTTCTTAATCACAAATGGGGAGAAGCGCCGCGAACACGGTCCAGTGTGCCGATGGCCAACTGGAAAATGAGGCCGTAGCACTGGACGTCAAGGCTGGGCGGGATGGAAACGCCACGCGGGCCATGGCGGCGAGAGGCAATGGTCGCAGAGCCGGAGCTCCGCTACTAACCAAAAAATTGAATGGGCGATGGAAGCAACATTAGTCTTTCACAGGCAACATACGCGTGTTAGTGCGCGGCGAATGCGGGCACGCAGCCTGGCCAGCGAGCCAAAAAAGGGCGGCGGAAAATTGATGCATGTAGGCAGAGGCAAAGTGAGGCAAACAGTACTGTAAACGCGACCTACCGCTCGATCGAAGCATGAAGGGTTGGAATCACAAAGCAGGGTTTGAAGGCAAAGAGAAAATGGGAACATGAAAAAGAGGAAGAAACGGAAAACATGAGGACGAGAGAGCGGGAGGAACAACTTCGTGGACGAAAGGCTGGAAAACGCCAACCACATACCGTCGGGGCGTTGACTTAAGGAACCTAAAATAAGGAACGAGGCTCCTTTTCCCCAGAAGTTAAACTTCGACGTCCCATCGAAAACCTAAGGATAACCTGCGGCAAACTGTGAAACAATCAAGGAACACCGAGCCCCTCCCCAACGAAAAGGGCTCCTTCTTCAGCGCCCCGACTGTACACCAACACCAGGCCCGACCAGGCGCATCCTGGGCCCAGGACCGATTGCTGGGGTGTGTATTTGGCGCCCCACCGACAGGAAAGGGGAACGGAGCAGGACGGGGCGGAGGGAAGGAGAGAGGGATGGAGGACGGGGAGCAAGCGAACGGGATACCCCAGATTTCGCAATAAAAGGAAGGGGGTCACAACCCTCCCAGACGAGAAGTCTTAGACCCCCCCAGACAATCCATGAAAGGGCGGCCCTTTGCCCAGACCCCCCCGAAACCTCCAAGACAGCTCAAATCAGACCCCCCCCCCAAGTGTGACCCCCCCCCACTTTATTTTGGAATCCGCAGTACCTTCAGACCACTTGGCCTCATGAGGCCCACCATCAGCTTATGTTGCCACGCGCATGCACGGCACAACCGCTGTGCAAAACCAGGCAACACAGGTACACAAACAAAGGGGGCGCCCAATCATTCTTGGTTGTCCCCAAACGTGGTGGTGACAACGCCTGGCGGTGAGTCTCGGGCGATTTGGTGTCACCACCCGGTTTGGGGACTCGCACGGTTTTCCGAGGATGTCCCGGACACTGGTGGGTCCAGGAGTCACAAAACCCGGTGGTGACCCCGCGTCCCCAAACCCAGCGGTGACCTTTTTGGGGATTCCAGGTCGCCACCTGGTATCTCACCACCCGGTTTGGGGGCGCCCACTCGCTCTTGGAGAAGACAGCGAGGAGGGAGTGCGGTGCCAGGAGGGCAGGGGGAGGGGGTCGCCGTCGCTTCTCGCGGCCCTTTCGGACGGTCTTCCCTCCTTCGTCGGTGTCCTCCTGCTCCCCCTCCCCGCTCGCGGACTGCAGCCCTCAGGGCACAACCAGTCCTTGAACCCTTTGCTTTTATGGACCCTCAACGCCGTCTTTTCCGGGGAGGCTCAGAAAAGAAAACGCAAAATGAAAGCGGGGGCGCTGGAAATCCTGGCCCCTGCCTCGCGCCAACTTTCATCCCGGCTCGCTTCGCGACGGTCCCGCCGAATAGCGAAAACAGTCCCCAGACGCCGAAAATTGCGAAAAACCTCCGTCTTGAGTTTTTCGTTTTTCCATGGCTAGGCCTGCTGCTGTTCGTCCTCCTCCTCCTCCTCCTCGTCCTCCTTTTCCTGCTCGTCCCCCTCCCCAGGTGGACGCTTCCGCCCGAAAGAATGACTCCGAGGGTCCATGATCTCCGCCTTCGCCATCTCGGCCCTCATTTCCTCCATCGTTTTTGCCATCTCGGGCACGTTCATCAGCCTTGGGGGGCAAAACACGCACACCCACGCCACAATGCCCCATCCAACCCCTTAGAGAAACAAAGAGCTATATCCGCTGTTCCCCTTTTGTGGGGGCAGTCGGGCTATGATGCGTAGGTTCCACTAAATGTGCGCCCTACTGTTTGTCAGTGCGACGAAGCAATTCGCAACAGTGATATATATCAATTGGAGCTGGGTTTTTTGGCAAACTTGAGTCGCTGGTCACCGAATGCCAGAAAACAAAACTGCTCAATCTGTTTCGTGGGAGAACGTAGCGACGACATGGCGGCTCGGCTGCTCACGGGGAATCGTGGGCCCGTGTTGCGCGAGGTCGAGGTATGCAGCTGCTTCGCTCTGCGATAGACGCCGCGGTACCCCCTCGACAGTAGGCCTCTTCATTCACTGCGCGATAGAAGCCGCTCAAAACTCGTCTAGAGAAAACCTGGAATGGTTACTGCCCGGCTGACCAAAATTGTTGTTCCTCGGGGGGCTCCAAAATTTGAAACGCGCGAGCGATCCCTCACGCGCCCGAATCGCGTGCCTATTCTGTTGGACAGCTTGGAGTAAGTGTTAATACGAAGGAAACATTCGAACTCCCACGACCTCGACCCACTTTACAAAACAACATATATCCGCGTCTTCGAAGCACGTTCCGCATAACAAGTCTTTACCCGCGTGGACCCCGAACGATGAATTTGTGCACGGTGGATGTGCGAACTATATGATGGAACCAGTGTGGCGCAAGCTATGCCGTGAAATCGATGTGTTGCAACACATAATGTGTGCATATCCATACAATGTAATATACGTATACATATGGATACACATATTTACCTGTATATACATAATATTGTGAGCAAGCGTGGACCCCAAACAATGTGTTCTAGCAGAAAGTGCGACCTGTGTAGTGCACTCTATGTGGTGTAAGCTAGGAAAAACTTGCTAGGATGTGGCGTATATGTATGTGTATGTGTATTTATATGAGAGAGCGCGCCCGTGGTGCACTCCCAAATCGGGACGATCGAAATGGGCGTGGAAAAACTGGCTCCGTCGCCTGGCGCGGCGTCATTGTCAGCGTTTTTCTATATTCGGCGTTCGACATTGGGCGGGGGGGGGGGTCTGGCTCCGGACCTCTGCTTAGCGCGACTGTTTGTAACGCTGGGCCCCACGAGGGGAGCCCCCACCTGCTCGATGCAGGCGCCCAAAACAGCCGAGATCCACCCCATGGGGGGGGATGCGCGTGCGGGGGCCCGCGCCGATCGACAACATAAAGAATAAAAGCGTTCTCCATGTCGTTGCAGAAGCGAAGTTGTTCGGTGGTCATCGCTCGGCATTTTCCATTGTTTCTTGTTGATCTAAGTCTCCCAGCAGAGCTCGTGTGGATCCTGGAACAGCGCCTCCCTGGTCTTCCGGGCGTTTGCGGCTCCGTTTCGGGGGGCTCTGCGCTGGCCGCCTTCCGCGTTCTCCTGCGGAGTTGCAGGGCTGATCCCTCGCGGTGGAATGCAAAGTGGTTCTGCCCGATGAGGCCGTCCATGAGAAGCGACAGCGCGTGGGGCCGCGCGAAAAACTGGCGTCGGTGTTTCTCCATGTCCACCCTGGCCCCTTGCAGGTGAACTCGCAAGGCGTAAATCAAACATTCTTGCCGAAAATTAAAGGTCGCGAGCTCCTGATCTTCCGCGTTCTTCTTCCGGGCCCTATGGCGCCCTCCCGGGGCGTTCGACGACTCGCGCAGCCACCCCCGACAAAGCTCTGGCCCCTTCTTCAGCACATCTTTTCTCAGCAGATGCCCTTCATTTCCATTGGCGGAATAGATGCTGATGGTAATCTACCGCGGCGATGCTACGGGGGCCTCCAAACGGTGCCCCTTGCGCCGCGCGATGATCTCCGAGGTGTGCCCCGCGACGTTGTCGTTCGTGATAGCCTACGGGATGCTGTAGTCGTGCTTTTCGTCCCTGGACTACCGCGAGAAACTTCTTGGCCCTGTCCCCTGAATTCAAAGCCCGTCGTGGCGTCCTCGGGGCAGCGATCTGCGCGCAGACCCTTGCTTGTCGAGCAGCTGCAGCACCCTTTGCCGCTCGTAGTTCTCAGGGTCGACATGGTTCGCGTTCAGGGATGGAACGCGCCGATGTGCGGCCGTGGTCGTAGCCGTGCCAAAGATGACGTCGAGGGCGCCGTTTGTTTTTCGTGCGTCCACCAGATGGTGTCCGTCGCGCTCATCACGCGAATGTCCGCGCGTGTCTCCCAAGATTCTTCCCGCTCGCCTCTGTCTGTGCCCCAGTAAGCGCGAGCGCGCCCCCAGTTCCGCGCGCGAATGCGTCTCTGGGCGCGGCGGAGAAGCGCCTGGCCCCCGATATTATCGCTGGGCGCTGCTTCGCCCGCCTGCGATGGCAGGCGCTGGCCCCTGGGCGCCCCCGTTCAAAGCGGCCTCCGTCGCTCGCGCCGTTGGGTTGCAGCGACGTAGCGCGCCGCGGGGCCTGGATTGCCGCCCGCGGCGCGCCGCCGCTCGGGCCCCCCCTTCCTCGGGGAAAGGCTCTCCGTGGATCGACTGGCCTGCTTGCCCAGGGCGCGCCCCAAAGCCCGCGGCGTCACCCATTGCCGAAGTCCGCTATTTCCCCGGGCAATTGCGCCAACCCTTCGGGGGGCGAGGCTCTGGGGGCGGCCTCGTGGGCGGCGAGAACGCAATCTCCGAGGGACTGCGGAATCCCCAGAAGCCCCGGGGAAGCTTCGGAGAAGGACGGAGAAATCCCATGTGGAACATGAGCAGGGTCGAGACAGTCGCGCGGATATCCCATGTCCTGAACTACTTATCAGCAGACGGCCGCGCCTCCTCCGGAACGCGCGCCATCGTGGTCGTTGTGCTCCTCTGTGTCTCTGTCTCTGTCTCTGTCTCTCACTCAGTGTCTGTCTGTCAGTGGGTCTGTCTGTCTGTCTGTCTGTCTGTCTGTCTGCCTGTCTGCCTGTCTGCCTGTCTGCCTGTCTGCCTGTCTCTGTCTCTGTCTCTGTCTCTATCTCTGTCTCTGTCTCTCTCCCTCTTTTTTTTCTCCTATCTCTCTCTCTCTCTTTTTTTTTTTTTTTTTTTTTTTTTTTTCTCTCTCTCTCTCTTTCTCTTTCTCTTTCTCTCTCTTTCTTTCTCTCTTTCTCTCTTTCGCTCTTTCTCTCTTTCTCTCTTTTTCTCTTTCTCTCTTTCTCTCTTTCTCTGTTTCTCTGTTTCTCTCTTTCTCTCTTTCTCTCTTTCTCTCTTTCTCTCTGTCTCTCTCTCTCTCGCTCTCTCTATCTTTTTTGTTTGTTTATTATATCTCTCTCTCTCTTTCTCTCTCTCGCTCTCTCTCCTCTCTCTATACATATATGTATATGGTTCTCTCTCTCTCTCTCTTTTCTCTCTTTGTCACTCTCTCTCTCTCTTTCTCTCTTTGTTTCTCTCTTTTGTTTTGTGTATTCTCTCTCTCTCTTTTTTTTTTTTTTTTTTTTTTTTTTCTCTCTCTCTCTCTCTCTCTCCGTCGTTCCACTTGCCGATGTCGCGTGGTCGGTCGGTCGCGCGTCCGACCGTGCCTTTGAAAACGCAGGGCGACGTGAGCGATCGACGACCGCTCTGCAATTCTGTCAGCCCCCTGGGTGTCGAACGCCATCTCGGACGTCGGGTCCGTGCCGTTTCGCGGGGGCTGTGGGCAATCCCGAAGGTGCAGGGTGGTGCTGTCCACGATGGCCATCTCCCGGTCGTCGTTCGTGAGCGGCTCTGCGACATCTTTCGCCTCCACGTGGAGCAAGCCCGAATCGTCGCTCGCGTCGCTGAAGTCTTCGGGGGCCCGCGCGGACTTTTCGGGTAGGCGCTTGAGCCATTGGCGGCGCCTCCAGCGCCGCCCAAGGCGCGCTTCGGGGTGTGGGAGGAGGGCTCAGCGAGGACCCCCAAAATCATGTGGACCTCCGAAGGTCCATCCTGGTTTTTCCCCAATCAGAGCTTGCCTCTGTAGGGATCCTAGCGGGTTCATATGGTTAGGTTAGGTTTGCCGCCGATTTTCGCCGCGCGCCTGGGTGCCCGGGTGTCCGGGGGTGCCCGGGGGTGCCTGGGGGTGCCCGGGGGTGCCTAGGTGCCCGGGGGTGCCTGGGTGCCCGTGTGCCCGGGGGTGCCTGGAGGTGCCCGGGGTGCCTGGAGGTGCCCCGGGGTGCCCGGGTGCTCTATCGCCCAATAACCCTATATCTCTATAGCCCTATATCCCTATAGACCTATAGACCTATAGCCCTAATAGCCCTATAGTCCTATAGCCCTATAGTCCTGATGCCCTATAGCCCAATCGCCCTACAAACCTATAGCCCTTATGGACCTATAGCCTTATAGCCTTATTGCCTTATAGCCCGATGGCCCTATGTTCCTATAGCCCTATAGTCCTATAGCCCTAGCCCTATGGTCCTATAACCGTTTAGCCCCATAGCCCTACAACCCTAAAAATATCATGATTGGGTTTTTCCTTCAGTATCACTTTGTTCCTCAAACAGCTTGCTGAACGGGGTACTGTAAGTCGGAGCAGAGACATCCTCACAAAAATTTGATGGTTTTGGCCGTTTCGCTTGAGACATCCTCACAACTCTCGTTTCTGAGTTGGCCGGGATTGGCCGTTTCGCCTGAGAAATCCTCGAAAAGTTGCGCTCCGGGACGCCGCGCGAGAGGTGGTCCGGGCGGTTTCGCTCGAGACATCCTCGAAACTCTGAGCCCCGAGGTGCTGTGCGAGAGGTGGTCCGGGCCGTTTCGCCTGAGACATCCTCGAAACTCTGAGCTCTGCGATGCCTTGCGCGAGGTGGTCCAGCCCGTTTCGCCTGAGACATCCTCGAAACTCTGACTTCGGAGATGCCGCGCGAGAGGTGGTCCGGCCCGTTTCGCCTGAGACATCCTCGAATTTCTGAGCTCTGAGATGCCCTGCGCGAGGTGGTCCGGCCCGTCTCGCCTGAGACATCCTTGCAACTCTGAGCTCTGAGATGCCGTGCGCAAGGTGGTCGGGCCTGCTTCGC